CTCTCACTTCTCATTATTTTTATTTATTAAAGAAATTACATTAATAAATAAAAAAAAAATTTCAAGCAATGTATCATATTCTTCAGTCAAAAATTGTAACAGAATTTTATTATTGTTCATTTTCTGATATATAATTTGAATTATTATCAATTTTCTATACAGTATATGTCGATTGCTAAATTATACATTTAAAAAATTTTCCATTACATACATACAAAAATCTTAAAGTAATGACATAAATTGCATAACTTACTATTTATATTTATGTAAACAAACACAGTTTAAGTATTTTAACGTACTTGGACTGTCGTAAATTAATAGCGTTTCTCAAAACGGCATTTGTTATATACCTAAGAGGAAAATAGCGCGTGAGAAGCATGCACAGGCCTTTATTATAAGCGCCGCATCAACGCACGTGGCGTCGGAACCGTTTGATATTGAACACACGTTTTATAATAATCACTCGTCAAAGTTGCCTACGCACGAAGGACTTCCGCAAGAGATTTTTCCACGGAGTACCAAGTTTATCACAAGCTGCTCGTGGTGACTTGTAAAAATAATCACCAATTTGGAATGTAACGAAGCATAGTTTTAATTCGACTGAGCGTGTTGTTGCTTTCTTGATCTAGGAATTTTTATGATGATATTTTTATATTGAGTTCGCAATTTCTCAATTTTATTATTTTACACTAACACATATTTTAATTTTTCTGTTTTAATATTGTATAGATATTATTTTGAATTTTATTCTAAAAAATGAATGTAAGCATGGATGTATATTCATACATACGCAAATGCTTGCATAATTTGAAAATAAATTTAATTTATGCATATAAAAACATTATTTTATTTTTGTTTTATTAAGACAATTGCTTCAGTAGAATTACCATTACCTATTAAACTAAGTTTTATGAATTGGTTAATAAGTGAGTTGCATCTTTTAGAATTTAATATTTTAAAAGTTAAGCAATTACAGGATCAAGTATTAGCATCTGTTATCTTTGCGTGTACGTAAAAATTGAACATTACTTTAGTTATATAAAGTTGTATTTGATACAAATTGATATACTTTTGCTTATATATTATCAAACATTCAATCAATTACACATATTTATGATAAAAATTCGTAATAATACATTGTAATAATAAATTTATATCTTCAGAAATTAATAATGTTATGACTTTATTATAATTTAGATCTTTAACAATTCAGTTAGAATAGAATATTATTGATAAAAATTTACAAAGTGCATTTTCGATATGTGATAAATGATAATTATTAATGTTTGCATTGCTTATCTATATTTTTTAGTATTCAATATTTTATATGTTATTTTAATATTCTGGATAAAATCGATAATAAAAATATTGATTTGTGTAATATCAATATATTAAACAATACTGCAGCAAATTAGCATATCCGTTTCAATTACATCTTCATTTACCGGTAATAATTTTTTACAATGTTAAGGATACGAGCGATTATTTTTGATAAATTTATTTAAACGGTGACGGCAACAATGATAATGAAGTAAAAATAACAATAGTACTGTTATGTGGGAAGGATTAAAGACATGTAAAAAAACATTTTCTTTTATTTTATAAATAGAAGCTTTTGTTGGATAATTGTACCGTGATCAGTCACTGTAAATATTTTCAAATTTACATGAGAAGCGTAGTGCACATTCTCGAGCATACTCTATAATAAACCAAAGAAATTCATTTCTTTTCCCGGAAGCGCGTAAAACATCAAAAACTACTGCCCCCTGTCGAATATGAACTCTCATTACCGTCTCAAAGATTCTCGACTTAAGAGAATCAACGAACGACAGCCCGCAAGTGTAAGACAGTCAAAATGATATTAGTGCCGGGCGCATAAACTCGAATCGACAATGGCGACCTCTTCTAGCGGCCAAACACTATTAGATCTAACTGTAACCCAGGCCTACTTTTACTGCTTTTAGCTGCTTGGCTATCTCGGAACACTTCGACTCGCTCATATCTATGACTGTCGCAAAGCTCTATATTAGCTTTGCTACCTATTCCCTCATTAGTTTCGTACGTGATTTACTTTCATTGCTGTCCGAATAATGCTTATTTGAATAACTACGTATTAGCTTACAATTCATCTATTATCATTTTTATTAATTTTTTTTGTGCCCAAACATTTTACCTACTTATCTTTCATACATTTATCATACTTTCTCAAAGCTATACTTAAATATAATACGGAGACCGCTTTCAAAGGCAATAACAGTTGTTGACCTCAAATAAATAGAAAAACTTTAAAATTTTATTTGAACATGTGATTTTCACAAAATTTAAGATATAAAACATTGACCCTATTTTCGGGATAATTTATTTTTTACCTATATCACACGTATAAAATAATTGCACAGCTCTGTTTATCAATAGTCGGTAAGTTAATATTAGTTATATCAGACTTCAGGTAACATGTAAAAATTGATTATCGCTAATTATTGTACAATGCTTTTTAAATATAAACTCAACACTTGTAAATGCATAGGTAATATCAAAAGATTAGAGTATAAAATATTTTTAGATATTGATTTATTTAATAATATTCGAAAACATTCGTAAAAAAAATTATTGCTATGTATTATCATTGACCAAATTAAAATTTTATGATATATGGTATATAGAATAAAGATTGAAAATTGTATAAACATGTTTTTCTAATAGTGAACCACATATAATATGTAAATGAATAATATAATTGAATAGATAAAAAATCAATAATACAATTTTTTCGAAATTATAATTTTAATGATATATAATATTATCAATATTATCTAGTAGAAAAATTATAAAATAAATGCTTTTACAAATAAAAAATTAAAGAAAAACAAAAATTATTCCAAATTTCGGACTAAAAAAAAAATGCTTTCTTTCATATTTTGTTTTTATCTAGCACATAATACACAAAATACTTATTACATTTTAGCACTATACGGAAATTATTTACCGATTTGTTTGTATTTTTCGATTGAGCTTCTAAAATCACGCACTGCAGGAATAATAAAATTCACATACATTTTACAATAATAAATGATAGAATTTAACGAACGTTTAATAATAATGAATGTTTATGAGACTTGTAATTATGATCGTTGAATGGAGTACTGCCTTAAAGAACTACGAATTAATCGGATTATGGATAAGTCTCAACCGGAGTAAAAGAATTTGCAAGCTACACCGAATGGCTATAAGCCGTCAACTGACGAAAACTACATCAAGTGCATCTCGTAAGGCGGTCGAACGCTAACTGACCTCCCCCGATGCGTTTGGGCGGGCTGCACTTGACGTCAATTTTCGCGGAACGCGATTTTGCACATCCAAGATTCGCCGCTGCAATCAGCGAATGCGGACGGCCGGCGTTTGCCATTGGAGGAGAGGCGGTGCGCACGATGTAACCAATCCTCGTCAATGCATCGACCCTGATGCAATCGGGAGGGACTACGCATATGCCGTCAATCCCCCACGCAACTTTTCGCGACCAGTAATAACGCTCTCGGCATCTGAGATGAACCTGGGGAATAAGAAACCCGTGCTAGAACTTCTATCTCCGATTCAGTCGAGTGCAAGGTCTAATCAACACGAGAAGTTTTTTCGGCAATACTGATAGAAACCCATAATTACATTTATCAAATTTGATTGATTTTAGTTAATTGTTTGTAGACCACAGCTAATAAATAAGAATGATGCTTGCATCCTTTATTCGAGTGTAAATAAATTATTAGAGTATGACATCATGGCTGGTATCCGTTTCTTTTTGAAGAGTAAAACTAACCAAAGAATTAATCAACAAAAAATGTTATAGTAAACACATTTTTAACTTTTAATCCAGTTTTTTAGTATGTTATATAATATATCAGATATATAAATAATATTTTCGCTAAGTTACTTATTATTATTATAACTATTAAACAAAAGTAAGAAATTTTTTATATATTTAGCAATAATATTTTTATTAATGACATAAAATTCAAGAAATATGTGTCTGCTACCTTCATATATTATGTATGCATTATTTTTATCCTGATAATTAACTGGCAACTAAAATTAAAAGCTAAAGTTGGATAGATATATTGCATCTAATGTAATTTATAAGTTCAACTATTAAGATATAAATAAAATGACTATATTTTTTCTAATTATACAGAAATTTCATTTGTTGTATCACATAATTTAAATGTTATTATACAGTATGTATTCATATTGTCAAAACGATAGACAATCTTTTTAATATAATATATAGCGAGGGGTTTGAGGTTTACTTTCATTCTAAATTGAAATATGAATAATATATGGAAAAGGACTTTACGAATAAGAAACTGCTTCCAAAAAGTTATAAAACAAATTGTAAGTGACTGATGTTTCTATATAGTCATACATTTGTGCGAAGTAGTGCAAATCCCGAATGAGCCAGACTTAAGTGAAAGTTGCTTGAGTTATATATTGCAAAAATATTTCATGCTACTGGACCATCTATTTCTGAAATTAATACGCTATCTCCAATTGAAAAAATTTATAATATTCCTAAAGTATTACCATCGATAAAGATACATTCTTACATTTTGAGCGACATCAAAAGAAATCAATATTAATGAACTAACGGCCGGTTTATTATATATTCAATATTATTATTTTCAAATTATTTCATTAAGAGTTGACGAAACCGGATAAACAATTAATCATTTGATATTAGCCGAAGAATCATTTTTCAATTTTAGATTGATATCAAATTGTTTTTGAAATTAAAATATTGAAATTCAAATCTAACATCTACAATATAAAATTATTTAATGTAGAAAATACACTTTTATCACTTTATTCAGTGCTACGTATCATAAAATAATTAATAAAGTTGAAAGATATATATCTACAATTCTTATTAAAGCAATAGATACCTTAGTCAAAAAAAAAGAAATTCATTAAATCCATCGATTTTTGTAGAGATAAATAAGAAAATTACTTACCTTCACAGAAAAGGGTGACATCCGTAAGACTCTCGCTTTTGAACAGATTAGAGAAAGCCGTAGCCAGATTACTGCCAAAACTGTTCCATTTAAGGCAGAATTGTTGTTGATGAGAGTCCATGATGCCACCCCTTGGGCCGACCTCGTGACCTTCACCACCACCCCTATCGATGTCACCCTCCACAATGGAATTCCCCTCTCTATCGCACCCGTGCTCGACAGCTCCTCCCGCTGCAAGATGGAAACACAAATTGCTCACAAGGATACGCATTATTGATAAGACAAATTTTTGCATATTTATGTACTTAATCATTTTTTCTTTCATTAACTTTGAACTTAATAACGAGAACAATCGGAACTCCCTTATTAAGAAACGAACGCTTTAAATTGATTCTATACTTATTATCATTACAAACTGAGTAGTTAATACTTAATAATGACTTTAAATTTTACTTACTTACCATCAGATATTATACTTACCATCAGATATTTTTCCAATAAAATAAATGAATACTAATGAATGAATCTTTCAATTTAAATAGGGCAATAAATAAGTATTGAAAAACTTCTACACAAATTGATTAACTTGAATAATGATAAAAGGTTTGTTTATACTCAACAAAATCTGTCTTACATCTTCCATATGTTCCATAATAAATTAAATACGATTAGCTTACGATTAGACACGACTGCCAAATATGTTGCTAGTTATAAAAATATGTTAACACAGAAGTAATAGTATCCCATCTAAAACAATACGAGAAAGAAAAGAGAACACCAGCATTAAAAAATACGCCATACGTTTTTTATCGTTCTCGCAGTGAGCAAATTTAATACATTTATCATATTTAATTTTTAACAAAAATCACTAAATGGAACATAAAAATGGGTTTGGTTTCTTTGCTTTGTTTATATAAGCTAATCTAGCACCTTTCTAATAAGTCAACTTTGCTAGCGGCGTTCTACTAACCTAAAAAGTATCTTAAAGTCATATGACCACAGAAACACTACGATTCCCTGTGAAAATTTAATGCTCCGTTTCATTTTCAAGTTTTCACAAATTTATATTCCATTCATATAGCATTAAAATTTGTAATTTATTAATATAAAAGTTTGCTAATGTTCATTTCTACAATAAAGCTAAGAATATTAATCGCACAGCTTCGTTTATTAAGTTCCCGTATTAATGTTTAATCATTATATTAATTTGTTTATTAAATTTTTTAATAAATTTAATGCAATTTATTTCAAGGAAATGTCTTATTCCATAGTTTATTAAAAAAAATCTTATGTTATAAATAGATTTTCAAAGTACTATGAAATACACAAATATTTACATTATTTATTTAATTTTTATTATTGCTAATTATTAATTTAAAGAAAATTGGTATTTCTCTGATAAAACAAAAATACAATTTCAATATTAAAAATAATTTTAACATAAAATAAACGTATAAGTACTTGGCGTACATGATCTAGGTATAAAAATATTTTATTATTTTGAAAAAACTGTAATATCGATTAATTAAATAATATTTAAGAAAACAGTGCTACTTTCATAGTTAGGGAGCATAAAGATAATATCGTGTTACAATTCAGCATACATACTTTTTATTATGTATTAATATTTCTTTATTATACAATTTAAGTACAAGAATTACTTCTACAAAAAAATAATATTCACAAACTAGCTATTACAATAACTTTTGTTGAAATTTAAAATTTTTTCAGTTCTTACAACTGCAGAATTATCCTATAAAGGTTATTTATATTATTATTAATAAATTATTTCTGATATTTCTTCATTTTTTTATATTCAGATTTTTAACTTAAAACTATAAATTACTCTGAAAGATTATTTATATTATTATTAAAAAATTATCATATTTCTTAATCTTAACAGTTTACGACACATTTTTTAAGAATTAAATAAAAATATATATTATTTTATAATTTTCTGTATTTAATGATCCATTTATCAATTGAATTGTTACTTACGTATTAAAAATATAATGCTTTAATATAATACTTCTGAAAATACACAACATATTTTGTGAGGATGGTTTAAATATACAGAAATTATCACAAGTGAAAATAAGCTAATTATTCTATACTTTGGTTACTATTTAACTGTAAGAGATTCAAAGTTTTAAAAAATAACTGTATGTTACTTAAATATATGGGTCTCGTGTTTTTTAAATTATTTGTCTTCTAGTATGACTCAGTTAACGTAATATATAATATATATAATATATATATATCAGTGGAATATATATATATATATATATATATATATATATATATATTGCTTTAATTCTACTTCCACTGATCTATACTATCAAACAAAGATACCTCTTTTTCTTAGAATTAACGACATATCACAACTATAATAGTCAAATCTAACGTGAATTTTTTAAGGATCTAAAACCTACCGGACGTTGAGTCCGCTTCGACTGGTCTCACGAAGCGACGAGGGGGTCTTTTCCTTCGTTGAGCCACCTCATTTACAACCTCCTCCTCTTGTAATCATTTCCACGCCAGTTGTTCAAATAATCACCAAAGCAAACAAGACAATGACCCTTGACCGTGAAGAACGACTTAGAAAAGGAACCTCGCGCCACTCACGCACTCCAGGATCTCTTCTCAAGTTCTGACGATGGAGTTAGTCCTTCTCAGAATATCACTTGAAAACTGGACGTACGTATGAATGAAAGGAACGAGTGCAATCACACTGTGCTAGACACCTCGTAGATTACTCGTTGTTGAAGTGTGATTTAGATTTAATGAAATGCACTCCCGTTTTTGCACCAATCGCGTACTTTGTAATAATCGCAAGATTTGCCTAGCAAACAAACTGAATGAGGGACATCGGTATATTATAAAAAAAAAACAGACAGAAGGTTTGACACGTTATCGTATGCTGTTCGACAGCTTCAGCCAAAATAGTAGTAGATGATTCGTTGTGGCTCGCGTAGTAGCTATACTCGCCGTGTTTAGTCGTCTTGATTTGTGCTCGGTACCGTGTCGACCGACTAAATGGAGAGGCGCACACCGCGTGCGTATAGCCGACCTCGTGGCGCGTGGCAGCAGCGTTCAGTAAAAGAGCGCGCGCATGAAAGAGACAGAAAGAGAGAGAGAGAGTGAAGAGACAAAGCAAGCAAATGGGAGGAAGCGACCTCCTAGCTTCTGGCTTCGTACGCGGCGTTCAGTAGCAGCAGCACCCACAAAATTTAGTTGGCCCTCCCTCTATCACCTATTCGTTTCATAGGGAAAACCCAGTATTACCTACATTAGAAAGCTGCAGCGCACTATGGGAATTATATGGGTCAACCATGCTAGTAGTCAATATTAAATGCAAATACGCTACTTCGGGAAGGGATAGGCCAATGAAAGTAAAAAAGAAGGCTGAAAGAGCTTCAAAGTGGCATTATAAATGCAGGTCCACTATCGGATGGTGGGACAGACTGGACAATAGATAAGTAGAGAAAGAATGGTATATGAGTTTGGAGTAGAATGTTTCTTAAGAAGGGAACCGAAGTTAGAAATAATAAGGAAGGGTTCAAGCACAATTATAAGAACAAATTCGTGACACTAGAAGAATTAAAATTCGTGCTTTGAATAAATCTAAAGCATGACACATTAGGTACCACACATGTCGTACAACTTAGATTCATATAATTTTTATTTTGCGACCGCCTCGTACAAAATTAATTCATCCTGACAGAGACGTGGATATACATATGTATATATATAGTAAAAACATCCAAGTAATTCTAACACAAGGCGCTAACTGAAGTTATTCAATATTTTTGAAAATTCTCTACTATTGCATCTACACAATTATGATTAAATGTTGATAAATATACTAAAAATTAATAATCCATAATAGATCTAAAAATTGCTAACCTATAAACAGATATTATATCAAATAAATTTTAGAACACTATTATTAATATTGAATATTGATTAAAATTCCTCTTCTAAATAATTATTATTTAAGCAAGCAATCATTCATTTAATCGCCATGAATTTTTTTTTCGAACATTACTAATTATTTCATTTAATAAATATGCTATTTAATTATGTATTTACATCTTCAATTTATATATTGATTATTCATAATAAATAACAAATATTTATATTTTAAAATATACGTCTGGTGTTTAAAAAATATTGATAACTGTTTTGTTTTATGTTTAATAATACTTAACAACATTTAAAAACATCAAAGTATTGTAATTTTAATTAAAATTGATCTGCATTTATATGCATTTAAATTGATTTGCTATAAAAAGTCATCATACATGTAACTGCAGTAAATATAATTAATAATAATTAATGACAATTATTTATATCATTTAAAATCTATTTTTCAACTGCACTTTATTCTACATATAATTCATTTTTACACATTTTCTTCGCTTTCGTATGTAGATATATAATTGTAATTTATATGTATACTTTATTTTTTTCTTCAAAATTATGCCAAAATTGAAATTATGAAAAATAATTAAAAATAAATATTGATTCAAATTTCACTTTTAATAAAATGAACTTTTTAATTTTGAACTGAACAATACCATCTCCTCCATTTTAAAAACATTGTTATAACTCCTTTAATGTAATTAATAAATTTATCTCTTGAATTTGTACAATACATATTTCTTCTATTACTCTAAAATAATGTCTACAGATACATCGTCAAAGTAGGTATCTAAATTTTGTATTATAAAATTTACGACATTTATTTTCTCTAAAATTTTATTTCTAGAGCAAATTTGAAAAGCATTATTAAAAATAATTCTAAATTGAACGAACGTCATACTCTCTGATATTATATAGACAATTAATATAAGTAACTATGATTTATTTTACTTCTTTTATATCATTTTTCTAGTCGAAAAATTACACAAATATGTAATTTTTGAAGGTTGATCTTTTAAATGTACTATTCATATATAAAATTCTTATATTAATTATTCAAAATGTATAGAAATATATTAACAGTATTAATTAAAACTAAATTAATTAAAAAATAGAACATTATAATATAAATTTTTATAATATAATTATAATTTGTCAAAATGAAACTTTAATTCATAATATTTAGTACATAATAGATATAGTATTATAATTATTATATTTAATCTATATATCTAATTATTATTCATTTAAATAGTTTAATAACGCATTTTCAAATCAAAATACAGATAGCCGAAATAAATATATTC